GAGTTCAGCGTTGGGCAGTTTAGCTAGCGTTTGGACATAAATTTAATTGAAATTTGAAAATTAATTTTTGAAAGTTGATGTTTGGATATGTATTTTATTTGTAGTGGAAAAAAAAAATACTTCACCCAAAAACTGCTTTAAATTAATTTTTGGGAACTTTAAAAATTTTGATGGTATTTCATAAATAAACAATATTTTCAAAAAAAAAAAAAAAAAAAAAAAAAAAAAAAAAAAATGAAGTCAAATCTATGGCCAAACGGGTGCTTAATTTTAAAAAAGGCGACCAGTAATGTAAATCTTTTCCCCAACCAATGGGGTTCGTTAGGACATAGGAATAGGGTCCCGCTTTTCTAAAACAGAAAGAAGAAATTAAATAAAATTTCAATTCATTAATTGAAATCGCAACTGAAAGCTGGTGCGGCCTAGACTAGCTAGGTTGCAAAATGGAGGAGGTCTATAGAAGAAATAATTAAGAAATATATCAGAAAAAATAAAAAAGTTAAAGAGGTTCAGAAAGAAGAGAAAGAGGTTAAGATAGAGCCAAGGCCGGCTGGTAATCTACAGATCATATATATGGAAATGGCGCACACTACAAAGCAATGCAACTGAAAATTTGAAGTTAGTATTGACAAGCAGACTTATACGTACTAGCTGTTAATATTAAAGTGAGAGTATTAAATGATTAATGAATGTTCTCTTTATATATATGTATGTAGTGGCTGGACAGAGAGGAGTTGAAGATGACAGAACGAGAGTTATAAGAAAAAGGAGGTTTGGCCCTAGCTAACAGTGACAAATGAGAAGAATTGCCATGCACCAGATCCCAGAAAACAACCAAACTCAGCGCAATTAATTACAATGTACGCAGTGCGGGTAGGGAGGGGAGTCTGTCGTTACCTGATAGTAACAGTTCGAGGGAGAGTTGCAGCAGTTTTGCATAACAGCCGTAAAGATAGAGACGAACGCTAGCTCTCATATATGTATATATGGTCCAAAGTTGGTGGGCCTCGCTACCTAACGGGAATTGATCCCTATTCCTCTTGATAAAAAAAACTTAACGTTAAACCTAAGTGCACCATTCAGTATTCTTGGAGTATGAATGTGAACAGTTAATATTATACCAATTTTAGAAAACATGTATTACATAAAATGTCTAATTTTATAGAAAGACTATGGATTCACGTACCCTATAATTTTCTCTATAAATCTGCCCCATCAATGACGCTGCTTAATTTCAATAGTTTCGTCTTTTATGGACTTTTTTTTTAAAATCTCTCTGAATTTAGGAGGATTTATAGTATTTCCACACTTCTCCTACCGGGTGACTTAAATCCAGGACCCAACGGTAGTGGATGAAAGTGATTTTTCCAACTAAGCAAACTTCACTTGTTCGTCCTCTATATATGGACTTGCTAGCTAGTTTGGTATGGGAATTTTGCACAAATATTGAAAGCATCTTTGCACTCGATCCCAAGTTGTTTGATCTTGTCGCCTCGTTCACACATAACATGCTACACTTGGCAGTACTTTCTCTCCCTCGTTTAATTAATGGCAAAGTACCTTGATCTGTTGTGCCAGCTTAGGTATCAGCAGCACTGATCCAACCCCTTATGCTAGCTCCCCCTTATACAACTTTTTCAAAACTGTCTAGTTTCAAAACCCCTTGTTGACGCACAGTTTCCCTTTTGTTGTAATTCTCAGTTCTCGTATATAAAGGGAATTGGTACCATACGATAGAATCAATTAAACAAAAAGTCATTCAGCGTGAATGTCGTAGCAAAAATGAAGTAGTTTTTTTATTTCAAAAATAATACAATTAAAAAATTGAACTTTCAAAGTCTAAAATAAATCATTAGGAATACTATATAATATTACTCTTCAAAACTTTAGTTTTTAAAACTTCCTTCCCTACACCTAACTTATTAACGACTATTTTCTAGAAAGAGGAGCTCTTGCTTCTCTCTACTTTTAACTACACTAGATAATGATATCAATTGACCTATTTCGGTCACCGCTTGAACCACCACCACCACCACCACCTTATACCACTTAATCGATTTATGTCCCAGATTATCTTTATACTGTGATGTTAAAATTGCGTACAATATGATCCTGGACATATTTATTTAGACGTCACGACGAAGTGGATTTTACGAATATGTATTTTAAAAGATTTATGTACGTTGATAACCTCCTGATGAGGATATAGAGATGGACACTAGATTTTACACATGATGAAGAAACTCTTTTAGCACCAATTTAGGTTCTGATTCACAAGCTACCGTGGGATGTATTTACTTGGAATATAGCGTCCAGAATGATAGAGGCCATAAGTTTGTGCGCAAATTGTATGTAAAATATATGTAAGTTGAATGTTTCAGCTGCTAATGAGTGGATTTGAGATGAGAAGCTTGAAGTTCTATACTGCGGGATTCGTGATGCTCATATAATTGCCATGAAATTTTCGAATTAAGATTTTAAGATTGAAACTACTTGGGTAAGGGATCCATGACTGCAAACGTGATCCCAAGCTAAGCTAAACCTTGTTAGATCGAGAATTTTAAACTCTAGTTCCTGGTTTGAGTTTGAACAGTTGCCGGTGTTAGATTCAATTTTGATTAGGTGTTGTGGCAAACTATTGAAAATACTTTAAGTTGCTTATATCAAAAATTTTGGCAATTTGGTGAAGATTTCGAGCAGATTTAGAAAGTTTTTCAGTCCTGGCATGGAGGAAGAAGAACATCAAATTTGTATACAATTTGTCTAAGTACCAAGTTACTTCTTTTTTTTGGCAATTAAAACAATATTATTGTACAAAATAAAGGCAACCTACCAGGTTACACTTCTCATGACTATCCTATGACACCAACAACCTAATCTACTAAAAACATCAAAACTCCTACAAAGAACAAATAAACTCAAACAACTTCCTGTTACCCCTACTTTAAAGTAAATAGTAAAATATATTTAAACCGGGTAAAATAATTACTATCTATAGCAAAAATCCAATACTCTGTAGGGAAACTCAGTTGGATAAACAAGTGCCATTTGTTTGGTACATCCTAATAAGAATCTATTATTCCAATATTATCCATTTATTCTCTAGAACTTTTAAGGAGTGTTAATTGCCTGTCATAAATGTATGTAGTTTAGCAGCCTATGTCTGAGACATTAACTCATATTATGACCATAGCAATTTGTTTACAATGTGTAGGTTGAGTCAGATGAACGCATAATTAAGTCTTCAAGTACACTGTTGAAGATGTCTGACAAGTATTTTGCTATTGCGCGCAGCTACAGGCTAATAGAATGATTCAAGGCAGCTTAACGGTTAGCAGCATCAAGACAAAAATCATTCATTCACCACTTTAGCTACAGAAATTTTGCATTCCGAAGTAATTTTGGCAATATAGACTGATGTATAGATATCAAAGCAGACAAACTACACAATGCATATAAATACAATGGTAAGTTCAATCACAATTTGTCATTTAAGAACATTAGCTCCCACAAATTTTTCAAGTTGCAGGCTCTGCAAGCCTCTGGGTCACATTTGCTGGAGAAATTTCAATGTTTCAGGGTGTATGAACAGTTTTCGGGTGTAGTTTGAATCAATTATCCACTTTCAAGTACCTTTCACCTACAACGTAGGATGATATCCAATACTGACATTTGCTTCTACCTGGTGCACTACTCTTCGGATACTCCAATCATGGCAGAACTCAAGGGCAAGCCTAAGAGCCGTTCCGAGTCCCAGCACAACTATTACTCCTGCGCATTGCTTCTTGATTTCAACGTGAGAAGGGACACTAAAAAGTTCTAATGTCCAAGTTTTGACAACAGACGATTAATGAGAAGTTGAAAAGATCAAGAGCATGTACCGATTATGATGTTCACAGGCAGTGCAGAGACTCCAAGCGTAATGGATATTAGCACATCCAGAAACAGACCACCAATGAGGATACAAAATGCTACCCAAAGTGGATTAAGACAACCCTGTACAAATTAACTGATTTAGAATTAATATAAAAGATGACTTTCAGAACGAATGTAAGAGCAGCCACTTGGGAAAATGCGATGTTCCTTACTCTATCCCGCTCTTGGGAAATATTCGCCCCCCTAAAAGAAGGATCGACTCTCCAAATCCAATAACTTGTCTGCAATCCATGAAAATGATACAGTCAAACATAATTAAAGAGTATCCATCCCAATAATGCGTAGCTGACTAATCTTTGAGCTTAGATCTTTTTCTGAGTCGCAACTTAGCATAAAGATGAAAATGACCAGAGTATCTCTGTGATAGTGGCAAGTTTTGAAGGCGGAAAAAAGCCCCTTAACAACATTGACCCCTAAGCAACGAAAACAAGAATATACCCTTACAGTGCCTATCGAAATTAAGCAGAAGATTTTGTTTCACAGGATAACAAATGACATGCTATACATGTGTCCAACCAGGCCTGTGGATGAATTTAGACTTATCACATGAACTTATTCTTATAGAGATCTTTCATCAAGTCTGAAATTAGAACAAGTGACTATCTAACAAAATCCAATGATGTATTTTATGTTTCGAAGTGAGCTGACTCCATGTGCAATTTGATCTCAAACCCAACACAACATTTTAACTCGGCAAGAAAAAAATTTCAAAATTTGCTCTGTTATTAGATCAGTGTTTAGATGAAAGAACTAGATCTGTTTCAACAACTATGCGCAAATCCAAAACAGTTAAACTCAGCAAAGAAATAAGGTGCTTAAGGGGCTCAAACACAGGACTTCCGAGGGAACCTTGAAGCAGCAACTTGACTACTGCTCTAGAGTGTTCTTTCTAATTAATTAGATGTACTACTTAAATAAAATAAATATTTTCTTATATGATATACAATAGACATATTAACAATATTCTTATTGTACTAGGATGGTATCCAAGACAGACAAAAAGGGGCATAGCTAGAAATAGATTTTTACTGGGTCAACCCCTTTGTACAAAAAAAACTAAAATATGTCTATTTTTATACATGATATTTTCTCTAATTTTAAGTATTACAACAACAACAAATCCAGTGATTTCCCACAAGTGGGGTTTGGGGAGGGTAAGATGTACGCAGCCTTATCCCTACCCTGGACGGGAGAGAGGTTGTTTCAGATAGACCCTCGGCCGGAGAAAGAATAGAAAAAAGTAATGGCAACAAGTTGGAACAACAAGAAGATAAAAATAAGACCGACGCCAAGAAAGCAGTTAAACTCTAGGTAGTAATAGCAATCTATGAATAAAAGGTTATCATACTAACACTAATGCTAGTGAACTGAGTAAGACAAAGAGAAGCGCTCGACTACCTACTAGCATTCTACCCTAATTTTCGATCTCCACACCCTCCTATCTAGGGCCACAGTCAGCTCCAGTTGTGCCATGTCCCGCCTAATCACCTCTCCCCAAAGCTTTTTAGGCTTACCTCTACCCCTCCTGATACCCACCAAGGTAACCTCTCGCACCTTCTAACTAGGGCTTCTATGCTTCTCCTTTTAATATGCCCGAACCATCTCAACCTCGCCTCCTGCATCTCAACCTCGCACCTTTAAAGTATTGCATCTCTATATTAGCAGATACCCTATATCATACTATATTATAAGTGTGAAAATTTTTAGGTGAAATTTTACCAAAATATCCTTCAAAAGCTAATTGAGCAAATTAACCTTCACCTAAAGTCTTTCTCCTTAGCTATCATTATATTCTTTAAACCACTTAATTTGTAGATATATGCACCGAAATATAATTAACACTTTAGTTATGTAATCTAAATGTGACTACGTGCGGAAAAAATGAAGAGACTAATTAATTGCATTAATAGTTGTTCAATTAGTATTATTTTGATGGGGATGTATGTAAAGCATATATGTTACTGATTATTTAACTTCTCATTTCCTAAAGCTTGACTGTTCAATTTCTTAGTTTACTTTAGATGTGATTCTTGGCCTATAAATACATCCTTCTTTTAGAGATAAATGTTTGGTAACTTGAAAAGTTCTGCCGTCAGTGGTTGGAGATGTGCACGGAGACGATAAGTGGCCATAGAATTTTCATCAACTATAATTAAAGATCAATCTACCTTTATCTAATATCTTAAATGGATTGGCATCTCCAGTATAGCAGATTTGTAGAGTATAAATTTTTTATTTTTATCCTTCCTTCATATTAACAACTTGCAGGCTTAAGTTTTGCAGCTTGCATTCAAACTGCTCACTGTCATTTTTCCCATTTTTTTGTAATTGTTGTCATTTTTTAATTTTGAATTGTTCTCATGGTCTATTTTATTGTTGAAGCCTTATGCTACTATTTCCTTGTGTAAGGTTTTAAAGGATCTTTTTCACATGTATTCATGATTTTGAACGTGTGTGAATTTTCAGAATGCACCAGCAATTGTTTTGCTTTTTTGTTGCAACTTGTTTATGTTACAAACTGAAATTCATTTGTTTTATCACCTCCATTTTCATATCATTACAAGAATTTCTAAAATTCTGAAGAAATTCTAGCATTTATACACAGTTATATTTCAAGAATAACACGCTCTAGCAGTTGGAATCTAAGTTGCAATTGCAATGTGGATTCATCATTAGCTGTTTGGGGATCCATCACTCATCTCTATCATCTTCCTTTATATATTTAGCTAAATAGGATCCATATTAATAGTGCTTATAATTTTCCTTGAATTTTTATTTTATGACTCAAATATATATTTTAATAATATTTATGCAATATTTTTAAAATTTTATACTAATTGATATGGATACACGCACAACGCGCGTGTCCAAAAACTAGTCTTCAGAAAATGTGGAAGGAAAGGATGACGCAGTTGTAACAAATTTGCAAGATGTTTATTGAGGTCTGGTTCATGGCAAATGCTTACCAAGAGGTTGCAGGATTGCTCATATTTAACATTTTGCAGACAAATAATATAGGTGCAGCAGTTGAAAAAAGAGAGGAAGAACAGAATCAGAATATTCTCATTCATAGATTAAAAAAAGTGGAAGAACCGGTACACAGAATTGATAAAGCAGGAACAGAGAGAGGAAGAAGGAGAAACATAGAGATAGTGAGAGAGCTCTCCCCCCCCCCCC